TTGGGTATAACTTTATGGAACAAAGGGGGCGGTGGATCGAAAAAGTTTGAGAATCATTGCTGTAGACTATCAAATTTTTATCTTAATTTAATGAAATGCTGTCTTATTTTTTTAGAAAATATTGTCCATTAGGCTTATTATTATACTGATCGAAATGAACATCCAATGAAAATCTTGATAATACATTTTGATCAAGAGATCAAAATGTATTTATAAGAACAAGTAAAGATTTTTATGTTTTATTTAAAAAATCATCTACTGTTGGTCTAATAAGCTTAATCTTGGATAGACAATGAAAAAATAATTATTGCTTTATCTCAAAACTTACATATATTATTAATTTGATACAGGAACTATTGCATATGCTTAATTTCAATTTGTCCATAAATATATATTTGTTTATAATTAATGTCAAAGTATCAACAGAATATCAACATTTTGACCACTGCTCATGTTTATAGTACTGTAGTTTAAAATATATATGTGAACTAGTTAATTGCCTGTCATACATGATGGTATATATAAAATATTATTGCAAAAACCAACAAACAAACACAAAAAAAACCAGCTACAAAATACTAAATTTTATTACTAACATTTTTTTTAGATAGAAAACGTTAATAATCGTAAAGTTTAGTATTTCCTAACTTTTGGTGTTTTTGTGTTATTTTCTGTTTACTTCGACCAGTTTTCCATCCTGCTGGAACTAAGAAGACTTATTTTTAATCAAGTCCATCATGGGTTTGTCCACTCCCACAGTAGGGTAACCAGATGGTGAGGGATGAGGTCAAAGTACCCAAAGGTGGCTAATTCAAAAATTAAAAGTATTTGAATAATTAACAAGTACATTTCATCAACATGTACATAATGATTGTACCAGATTGCATGATAAACTAATTGCCATCATAATGTTTTCAAAAAACCAATATTTTGAAGTTTTTTATAAACTTCAAAGTTTTAACTTTTTTTGTATGTCAATGAGTAGCCCCTGTAACTACCCTTGTATTTCATGTAACCAGTAGTGGCACTGGATGAGGCCCCAACATATCTAGGATGAACTACTAGTAAATCCACACTTATCATTTTGTTTAATTTAGATAAGAAGAAAAAATAACTTTATTCCTGGCCAAGGCAACTTACTGTTTAGAGTTTGCATCAATTGTAATTTTCTTTCACAACAAAATTTATAATCACTCAAAATCTGATCTCATGATTATATGAAAATTTGAGGAAATAGAACATAAAAAAATCAGACATAAGTAGTATAATAAAGCAAGTTATAATTATTTTAAAAAAGTTTATTATAATAATATAGTGAATAAATTTAGACAAACAAAACTATATATATATATATATTTATTTTTCCTTTCTATATATATAAAAAATGTCAGAAAGAAACATGAAAGAATTTTAACTACAACTGAATCACAATGTTTACTTAAAATTATATAAAATAAGTGCTTTATAAAACAATTTTCTATTTTGCTAACCATTGCTGTTTTTACCATGATAAATTAAGAAATAAGCCATTTCTTTATTTACACACATTCACAGCATTGATCTACCCACCTTTTGCATGCAACTGCGTAAATTGATCTTTCACAAAGTCAGCTTAATTTAGTGGGAGAATGCAAAAACCTGATAAGTTAAATAAATTATCAATTAAAATGGCAAAGCATTTGTAGAATTTATAATTGATTTGCATTTTAAATGCTTTATGATTTTAATCTGCAATCTTTATTATATCAACATGTTCAATGACTTCATATATAAAGGCTCTAATTAAAAAACATCTAAATTATTTTTATTAGAGCCTTAATGTATGAAGTCATTCAACATGTTTATGCCATTAATTATAACCTGAATAAGGTTATAATTAATGGCATACAATCATTTCAACCATATACTAATCAGAGTATTTTCATACTTTTAACAGTTAACAAAATGTGGCTAAATAGATTCAACTTCAAAATACTAACTTGTAAACATGGATCTAAATAGACCCTACAGAGATAAAGAACATTTTACATTCCCAATTCCTTATCCCATATTTAAATTAAATATGGGTGTATGTGTATCAGCAGAATGGAAATCAATTGTAGATAGCATAGTTTAAGACTAGGATAGTGAGCAACTTGGAATATGTAAAGCTTGTAGGCCAATATTTGTGTTACTGTAGACCAGCGTTTCTCAAAGTGGGCGANCAAACTTAGTACACTTTATTTATATTTTTGAATCAACTAAAATGCAAATGTTTAAATATCTCGAAAGAAGAAAAAATGGACTTACACCACTTTCAAAATAAACGGTCCATATATTAAAGCTTTAATAATTAGTCTTAGTATAGCCAAATAACTATTCCATAAATCATTTTGCAATATCATCACATCTAAAAATGTTTACCTTTCCACTTTATTCAATACTCGTAAAAAGTTGATTGTATTACAACTGTTTCTTAAAATCCAAATTTGGCAAGCATTGTCAAGTCAAGGTTCCCCCCAAAATACTGCAATGAACTTTATAGTGGATATTTTAACACTTACCCTGATAGAAACATAATATTACGTTTTTCACATTCCTTCACAAAAAAATGTGATATTACATTTCTTGATATATCTTGTTATTTCTAGCTTTAAAACATATCATTATGTTTTCAGCAATGAAAATACGATCTCTTTTAGTGTTTCTGTTAATAAATAGTGGGCACTATTTATTAAGAAATTTGAAATATAAGTGATTTTGTACAACCATGATCATCATCTGATTCGGAGTTTTGTCGCCATATTTTGCAAGTGACTATAATCAAGTTGTTTTATTTTTTATGTATGAGTAAAGTTTAGATATGGAGCATTAACGTACTAATAATTGTTTGAATTCATTAATAAAAAAAATCAACAAATATAGTGCAAATTATATTGATTTATCTGACGAAAATGTCGCAATTATGATTTAGGCCTAACTGAGATCAAAAAATAGAAATAAGCCACGTAATTTTACTAGTATTTTAAAGCTATATAGTTTATATGATATTACATAATTTATATACTTTTTAGATATTATCGATACAAAATTCAAATTCCTATATTTCTGATAGTACTAATGCCATCTTATGTACATTTGCCAAACTGACTCAATTATGAAAAACAGCCAGAAAAAAGTCTACTAATAATATTAATACAGCACATCATTATTATGAATAAATTCATCCATGCACTATATATTTCATACATAAAAATAAAAATTTTAAAGCTATAATGCAGTTTTCAATTTTTTTTCATTGTATCTTTATCTCTAAAACAAGTCCAAATAACATTAAAGCAAAATACATAAAAATAAAGCCCACATACATCAAAATTGAGTAATGTATAGATAAACGTTCCCAATATCAGAAACTGTTTTTACTTTTTACCTAGCTTTAGTCAATCCTTTTTTTATTTTTAGTAGAAATACTGTAAAATCGCTTAAATCAGTCAGCACACAGGTAAGGAACTAGGTCAACTGGCCCAGCAGAGTAAGTGTTAAAGGTTTTTATTATTTTTAGTAGATTGTGTTTAATTATATATTAAAATTCACAATTATAAATTCTTTATTACTTCTGAGAATATCTGTTCATATAAAATATAGACTACAAATAATGTATAAGCTCAATTTTTAAAGGTTTTAAAAGGTAAATTTGTAGCTATTATATTAATATAATATTAATTTTTTTAAAAACAATTTTATAATTTTTAGAATACTTACTCTAGATCATCCTTAACTGTTCCCCAATTATGAGCACCAGCACCTTCCCTTTTTTCAACTGGCTTAACACCACTAGAAAAAAATGTAAAATATGATAAAACAGCTTTTATTTTAATAAAATAAATATTTTAAGCAGCATGTTTATTCATCTTTATCCACCTCTTTGCATTAAGCAAATGTGGCAAAAAATTAAATTTAATGTTTATAATTTTGCATATACAAAATTATAAACATTAAATTTTATTTTATAGTAAATCCACACTTATCATTTTGTTTAATTTAGATAAGAAGAAAAAATAACTTTATTCCTGGCCAAGGCAACTTACTGTTTAGAGTTTGCATCAATTGTAATTTTCTTTCACAACAAAATTTATAATCACTCAAAATCTGATCTCATGATTATATGAAAATTTGAGGAAATAGAACATAAAAAAATCAGACATAAGTAGTATAATAAAGCAAGTTATAATTATTTTAAAAAAGTTTATTATAATAATATAGTGAATAAATTTAGACAAACAAAACTATATATATATATATATTTATTTTTCCTTTCTATATATATAAAAAATGTCAGAAAGAAACATGAAAGAATTTTAACTACAACTGAATCACAATGTTTACTTAAAATTATATAAAATAAGTGCTTTATAAAACAATTTTCTATTTTGCTAACCATTGCTGTTTTTACCATGATAAATTAAGAAATAAGCCATTTCTTTATTTACACACATTCACAGCATTGATCTACCCACCTTTTGCATGCAACTGCGTAAATTGATCTTTCACAAAGTCAGCTTAATTTAGTGGGAGAATGCAAAAACCTGATAAGTTAAATAAATTATCAATTAAAATGGCAAAGCATTTGTAGAATTTATAATTGATTTGCATTTTAAATGCTTTATGATTTTAATCTGCAATCTTTATTATATCAACATGTTCAATGACTTCATATATAAAGGCTCTAATTAAAAAACATCTAAATTCTTTTTATTAGAGCCTTAATGTATGAAGTCATTCAACATGTTTATGCCATTAATTATAACCTGAATAAGGTTATAATTAATGGCATACAATCATTTCAACCATATACTAATCAGAGTATTTTCATACTTTTAACAGTTAACAAAATGTGGCTAAATAGATTCAACTTCAAAATACTAACTTGTAAACATGGATCTAACTAGACCCTACAGAGATAAAGAGCATTTTACATTCCCAATTCCTTATCCCATATTTAAATTAAATATGGGTGTATGTGTATCAGCAGAATGGAAATCAATTGTAGATAGCATAGTTTAAGACTAGGATAGTGAGCAACTTGGAATATGTAAAGCTTGTAGGCCAATATTTGTGTTACTGTAGACCAGCGTTTCTCAAAGTGGGCGATAACGCCCCCTTGTGGGCGCTGGAGGCTTTCAGGGGGGCAGTAGAAGGCTCAAAGAGAATTGGGGGGCATTAAGGAAATATAGAGGGGCGACGGCAGACAAATTTTATATATAAAAATTTGACTGAATATATATAAAATGTTGACATTTTATATATTTTTTATTGAAGGTCACAACTTGAATATTTCTAACACATTGACTTTTATTTTAGCTCAGCGTTTCTCAAAGTAAGCAATAACGCCCCCTTCTGGCGCGATGAATAGATCTATGATAGAGGCAGGGTATTGAACGGTGACCAAAGGCAAAATTGGGGCTGATAAGAGGAAACATTGCGTTTAATGGTTTCCAGATGATGAGAACAATGTACAGTAAGGGCACAAAGTGTGAGATTCATAGAAAAGTTTTCCTAAGAATATTTCCAATCCTTTTCTCACACAAGAGAAAATGGGTTAGGGGGCGTTGGGTATAACTTTATGGAACAAAGGGGGCGGTGGATCGAAAAAGTTTGAGAATCATTGCTGTAGACTATCAAATTTTTATCTTAATTTAATGAAATGCTGTCTTATTTTTTTAGAAAATATTGTCCATTAGGCTTATTATTATACTGATCGAAATGAACATCCAATGAAAATCTTGATAATACATTTTGATCAAGAGATCAAAATGTATTTATAAGAACAAGTAAAGATTTTTATGTTTTATTTAAAAAATCATCTACTGTTGGTCTAATAAGCTTAATCTTGGATAGACAATGAAAAAATAATTATTGCTTTATCTCAAAACTTACATATATTATTAATTTGATACAGGAACTATTGCATATGCTTAATTTCAATTTGTCCATAAATATATATTTGTTTATAATTAATGTCAAAGTATCAACAGAATATCAACATTTTGACCACTGCTCATGTTTATAGTACTGTAGTTTAAAATATATATGTGAACTAGTTAATTGCCTGTCATACATGATGGTATATATAAAATATTATTGCAAAAACCAACAAACAAACACAAAAAAAACCAGCTACAAAATACTAAATTTTATTACTAACATTTTTTTTAGATAGAAAACGTTAATAATCGTAAAGTTTAGTATTTCCTAACTTTTGGTGTTTTTGTGTTATTTTCTGTTTACTTCGACCAGTTTTCCATCCTGCTGGAACTAAGAAGACTTATTTTTAATCAAGTCCATCATGGGTTTGTCCACTCCCACAGTAGGGTAACCAGATGGTGAGGGATGAGGTCAAAGTACCCAAAGGTGGCTAATTCAAAAATTAAAAGTATTTGAATAATTAACAAGTACATTTCATCAACATGTACATAATGATTGTACCAGATTGCATGATAAACTAATTGCCATCATAATGTTTTCAAAAAACCAATATTTTGAAGTTTTTTATAAACTTCAAAGTTTTAACTTTTTTTGTATGTCAATGAGTAGCCCCTGTAACTACCCTTGTATTTCATGTAACCAGTAGTGGCACTGGATGAGGCCCCAACATATCTAGGATGAACTACTCCCAAAAATTTCTGGGTTTTTCAACCTGTCTGGATTCATTCCCAGGTTCCAAAGCAGTGTTCTAGAAATTTAATTGCTCAGCCATCCAGCTGCCCATTTCTGTTCATTAGATGTCAAGTATACTACAATTATGAAAGTAAATAAGTACCAGTTCACTGGCTTTCATATTACAGCAGCTTAAAATTCTTTCAGTTGACCCAAAAACTAGTGAAGAACTGCATCAACCATCTCATCATTATAAATATAATAAACTTCCCAAAGCCTGATGCATTAATACTAAATCAAATGATCACTGCAATTAATCAGGCTATTGTTTTGCTATTATTAATAATTAGATATTAAGTAATTTGGTATTAGAGGTAGACATTTGCGATAAGAGATAAGAGATGGTACCTAACATCTACCTCTAATATCAAATTACTTAATATCTAATTATTACTAATAACCTGATTAATTATGATAATTGTTTGGTTTAGCATCTCATCATTGTTCGCGAACTATTTTTATAAAGATATTCTTTCAGGGGATCAAATAAACGATAATCACTTGATGACAAGTCATTAAGACTAAGGGAGAATGAGTCAACACATTCAGGTTTTCCAATATCATTTGTTGAAAAGGCCCTGACTCAATAGAAAAAAACAAATAATTGGAGTCAAGGTCAGAAGAATTTTCCAGTGACTCAACTTTCTTGTTCATGAGTGCAATGTCAGGATACTCCAGACAATGACTTCAATATCTTAATTATGACTAGTGGCATAAAAAATTTAATTTCAACTACTTTAAATATTTGGTAAAATGCTATATTTCCCCCAATTTTATTTTACTTCATAACAACATATTTCACCATTTGTTATCCAGCTTCTGAGATATTCAAATTTATTAACATCTAAGTCTTGTCCATTTAGCTTGATGCATTTCTCTGAATCCTCCTTCATATTTACTTTTATTCTTAGCTTTGCCTAATAAAAGATTAGTAAAAGCTAAGACTAGCTTTTACTAATCTTTTACACAAAAATTAGTTCAATTTTAATGCAAATATAAGCTATTAATCTTGACATTCAAATATTCTAATTATATATTTTTAACCAACCTTTTATCACTTCCACTTTGACGATCAAACTCTCTCTTGCCACGACTATCAAATCCAAAATTTCCTCCTCGGCCACGTCCTCGACCTCTAGAACCACGCATGTTGCCTCCACCGCCAGTAGTGCTAAATCCACCTCTTCCACCACGTCGATTCTCACCATCTCTCGATTCCCTACCAAATTTTTAATTTCAATATAACAAAATCTTTACATGTTTGAACTAATCAATAATGTCATCTATATACTAATTACATACTATGTTAATAATTTTATATATCTAGTAGAAACTTGATTTAAAACTTTGACGAAGTGATAAGAAGAAGAAGAGAGAATATACAGTATAATCTCCAAATAGCAGACACCATCTGGACTGAGAAGTTTGTCTGCAATTTAGAGCAGGGATGTCCAACCCGCAGCCTGCATGCGGCCCAAGGCAAGTTTGAATGCGGCCCAATAAACGTGTACACAAAACCGACAATTATTATTATTACTTATTTATTTAAACGGTATAAACTCAAAAAACAAGTTTCACAAAGCCGTAAACCTTTATACATATTTTGTTTTTGAGTGGAAAAGAAATATTTTCAAATAGAAATGTGTGAATGAGGAAGGTATACTAAATAAAGCTGGAGTTGGCTCTCAAAGGAGTATAGACCCAAATGAGGGGAAAGGAGAGAAAGACCTAAAGATAAGAAGTAATGAGAAAGGTTAAGTAGGCCTTCTGTTATGCAAATATGGACCCTTAATTTTCCAACCTTCCTCACTTCTTTATCTTTTGTCATTTCTCCTCATTTGGGTCTATAATCCTTTGAGTCTCAACTCCAGCTTTATTTAGTATTTCTTCCAGCATTGCAAGATTTGGCTATTTTGTGCCAAATTTGGCTACCTTTTATTAGTTTGATGTAAAAAATATCAGTTGGCACATTGGTTACTTTTTGGGCTACATATTATTGTGAGGGACGAACAGACCCACAATAAAGTGTTATTTTAAATTTTAATTTGGAAAATATAATCGGTTAAATTCGAACGTTTTATCGAGTTAGGCTAAAAGCCATAAAATTTATTTCCCACGGAGTTTGTTCCTTGTTGAGTCGAATCAAGTTAGTCAGGGATGTGTCACCAGGAACTTTTGATGGAGAATCCATATTGGACGTGCGACCGTTAAAGGCTATCACCTGACCTCATGGAAAAAACCCAAGAGAAAAAAAAAAGAGAAAAGAAAACGATCCCGAGGTCAGTCGTCATCCGAAGTCCCTCTACAGAAGTCGTCATTCAAGCCCGCCCAACCAAATCATTCTCCAAACCATTAAAACCGTGCCCCAGGATTAAAACCGTACCACCGAATTAAAACCGTGACCAGGATTAAACCAGAGAAAAACATTCGTGCTGGATTAAGCCTCTACACTCCTCCGTGCCTCCACCCCAGTGAACGGACAAGATTCTGATTCAAGATTCAACGACAAGATTCAAAGAACTGTCCATTCGAGATTCAAAGAACTGTCCATCGACAAGGTATTTATCAACCCGCGATTCGGTTGTAAACTCTCTCTCTCCGCGGCCTAGTATAAGTAAGGAAAATAATATGCCGATAGTATTTAGTATCTCTGTGTAGTAGTTAGTTCGACTTCATTAAAATCGTTATTTACTTGTTACTATGGAGTCCGAGTAAGTTACTTCCGCGTCTCTCTCCTCACCTCTACTAAGAATCCAAGCGCTCACACGCTACCGCTCGCAAATCTTTAGACGTAACGTCGCGATTTCCGAGTCCCCCAGAGACTCGGTGGTGTCAGATTCAGGTCTCCTGACAGGGCGCCAAAGAGGTGCCGACCCTACGGTCACATTATTTATAAATATATTAGTTGAATAAAAATGCACTTTAAAATAGTGTTTCATCGTTTTTATTAATTAGAGACCCAAATAAAACAAATATTTGTGTTTTTCAAATAAATTTTTGTTCGTCTCCTTTATAATAAATGAATTTATCTATTTCTAAATAAAAATTGAAAGTGTCTGTAGAAGTAATTTTTAAAAATATTCTTTTTGTGGTAAACTTTTAATACTTATTACTATAATCTAGACATGTTAATCCTTAAATATACTTATATATTTAAGGATTAACATGTCTAGATTATAGTAATGTCCTTAAATATACTTATATATTTAAGGATTGGGCCAAAATATACTTGTGGCCCAAAACTCAATGACTTCTTCCAATGTGGCCCAGAGGAACAAAAAGGTTGGGCACCCCTGATTTAGAGGGACAGTACATGCCGGCAGTCATATTGTATTTTAACCTTGTCATCATATAGTGAAGAATAAGACAGATTACAAAATGAAATTTGTGTTAGGAATGTATATATACCAAAAGTATACATAGCATATATAATTAAAATATATATATACATTATTATTTTTTCAGCTGTAAAAATACTGTTTTAATTGAATCTCAGTCTAATGTCGAGTCATGAAGATTTGCTATCCACTTCAAGGAATGGGAAATATATTCAGAATTGTTACATTTATAACATCATTTATGATTTAAGTGACAAATAAAAATCGATACAGGGATTTGCCTACTTTATAGTTATCAAGTAGGTGTAACTTTTCAAACATTTTTGTTTTTCCAGTAAGTGATTTATTAAAAATTGCACTTTAGCCATCATAAAGTAGTTAAAATGGTTACAACAGCAGTGTTTGTTTGGTGAAAGTTTAAACATCATGATTTAAAGGCAATTTGCCGACCACCTTAAAGTGTAGAAAATTTTCTCAAATTTATGATCTTAAATTTCTTTTTCATTACCACTATACTACAGTTCTTGTCAAATGAATGAATAACTTTTAAACAGTTTATAGCTTTTTGGTATCATAAGCTTAATTCCAATAATATGACAAAAGTTTAATAACATTAAATAGTGATTGTACAACTTAACCAGAGTTGTCTTCTCTAACAGATACAGAATATTGTTTGACTTCTTATAACCTGCTCCCCCATTTCTATTTTAAGCTAGTTTTCATTTGATGCCTACAATCAAAATTTGCCTGAAAGAGTATTTGAACAGATTCTTTCTTTTCACTTTAAAATATTTTGTGCGTAATTAATTCATTTAGAATATTAAAGCCGAGGCATTGTATTTTCGTAAGGTAGGTTACAGATGACAGCATTCCTTATTTAGAAGTGAATATAATAGATGTCCTATTTGAAGGGTCTGGTGATTGTAAAAATGTCCATTAAGTAGAGGAATCAGCCATTCAAGAGTTCCATTAATGAAGGTTTCACTGTATATGCACTCAGTATGGATAAAGATAGAGGCATTTATTTCATACAAAATAATGTACAACAATTGGCACCCTTAGGCATGTTTTATACAATGATGATAAACTGTTAAGCTGCCTTTTGAAAGTAATCAATAATACTTGTTTATTTTGTGTTGAGGACTTGATGTATTTTCATCATTCAGTTTCAAAATTTGAAACAAAAACATTTTCTATGTCATCAGAGCTACTGTACATTAAGTACAGTAGAGCATTGATTATCCAAATGTCAATCAACTGAAACGTCAATTAACCGAAAGCTTTGTCCTGCTATGTCTTGGGCTACTCCAATATTATTTTTGTTAGTGTGTGTGTTTTAGCTGGCAGCACTGGCACAACAAAGAGGCAAAAATCCTGGCACAACTTAAGGACGTAACAGGATTTGAATGAATTTCAACACGGGATAGGTTAATATATTTTTCATACATAATCAGTTATCCAAAAAATGGATTTTCCAAACCACAGTCCCCAATTGATCCAGATAATCAATGCTCTATTGTACCTTCATTTAATGTTTTGCACTTCACACTATAATGCCATTATGTCCAGGTTTGTAGCTGCACAGCAGAATCTACACTCACTGGCCAATGAATTATAAACAGCAGTTTAATAATTTATTGGACCACCTTTAGCTCGAATTACATCATTTACTCAATTTGATATGGATTCTACAAAGTGCTGAAGTGCTTTTAAGTCCAATGAACACTAGGCATTCTCTAGACTTTCCTTTAGTTTGCATAGATTTGACGAAAGTGGACTTTGCTGGCAGATATGTCGTTCTAATGTGTACAATACATTCTCAATGGGGTTACGATCTAAGCTTTGTGGTGACCACGGCGAATGGCAGAACTTGTCTTCAAGCTTGCTGAATCACTGCTGAACAATTGTTGTGCAATAAACAGTAGCATTGTCATCAAAGAAAGAGTGGTCACACGCAGGAAAAAACACAACATTGCAGGATGAACTTTATCAGCAACAATGTTCAGGTACTCATTGGAAATCACCCAACCTTCCAGGAATATCAGCAGACCAGTTCTGTCCCAACAGAACATGCCCCATATCATAACACCCCTACCAAAACCTTGAGTCGTATTAATAAGGCAAGCAGGGTCCATTGCTTCATGGGGCTCCCTCCAAACTCTGTCTACCGTCAGTACAGAATAACATATACTGTGATTTGTCTGATCACATTATTTCAAAATATCTCACCCTTGGAGAAACCAGTCAGCTCTACAGTTCTTGATATTGTGGCTCTAGCGAGACAGGCACCCACAATCAGCCATTTCTGAAACTGTCAAGTTCTTCACTTTTCCCATTTTCATAAACTTAATAACCATACTGACCAACAACATTCTTAAATAGGAGCTTATGAACTCTCACAACTCAAGTGTTTTGCATATAAGCTACAAAATTACACTTACTTAATACACATGGAGTTTTCTAATTCATTGGCCAGTGAGTGTATAACGTACTTCAAACACTGACTCAATATTGCTTACTCTACTTGCCAATCTGAGTTCAGCAATAGTTGTCAAGGCACCGAAACTATAGAATAAGGCATCCTCTCACTATCACAAGGTGATGAAACAATCTTGATAATCCATTGAACTTTTATAACTCTCCTGGTCATCCATACATGCAATACAGTACACTTCTTTTCTTTCTTTTGTAAAAACATTAAATTATTTAAGAGGAAATTCATATAAGAATTAAGTTTCTGATGCATTAAATCCCAAAAAATGTGCAAAACCAAGACAATAAATGCAGTATAATTAATATTTGCAATTTATGAAGATTTGAAGGAACTAGTGAAAAAATACATAAATGCAAAAATATGTTAAACATCAAGTTTCTACTAATG